CATGTATAGTTTGTTGCCTGTGTTTCGAAATGACACTCGATATCTTTTCTGAAAGGATAAAGTTGCCTGACGTGATCCGGCATTTGAACCTGAACCTTTAGATTGTGAGTGAGAAGCTCAATCGAATGAACAACCTTTGCCTCGAAAAAATAAACGACCTACCAGGTTTAATCAATGTCATAAGAATTCGCTGCCACGCCTTACAAAGCAGACGGCCGTTGAAATCGGTCGTCAGTGGAACACTGAAACTCTCCAGAAACGGAAATGTCACGGTTATGCCGCTTTTTGCAGTTGCCAGGGTGTCATCTTCGCCAAGCATGGACAGCAGAGAAATTGGTGGCACTTCGGTACCTGAGATGGTCAGTTTTTGTATCGCAACGACCATTATGAACAGCACTTTTGCCAAAGGCACGTAAAGACCCGAAAGATCCTGAAAATGTTTCGTATACACAACTTCAATAAACTGCACTTTGTTTAAGCTACCTTTGAGAGAAGTCGATTGATCAAAGTGGTCACAAAACTGATCTGCCGTTGCGTGCTGCAGTTTTCGATGGAAAGCGACAGAAATATGACTTCCGCTAGCTGGCGCCATCCATCAAAGCACATTCTCCGTACGTAGTTCGTCTGCTGACACCTGTTGTAGACGGCCACCGATTGTAAAATGGCATCGCTTTCCTAAATTCCAGTAGTTATAAGCATATAATCATAAGCAACACAACAAAATCTTAACTGAGCCAAGATGGTCTGCAGAAACAAACATTAAATGAAAGCAATTAATAATTCAGATACAGGTAAACCTACCATACTTATTGCTAATTAATGTACAAATGAGTTGTTAATGGAGAAAATTGATAAGAGCCGTATGGTATCGACATAACAGCTGTACGAAAAGAAGGAAATTAAACTTGAAATCCCAAACGTTACTTAAATCGTTTCCAAATTATGGAAAAACATAAAAATCAGAACATGTAACCATCCATTCACTCGATAACTTTCATGTATGAAACCTGATTCTTTGATTGACTATTTGTTTCACCATTTGATAATTTTTGCTATGAAATAAGAATGTGTGCAAATCTAAGTTCAATTCCCGCCTTCTTCTTCAACATGATGGATAAAGATATGATTATAACAGTCGCAGTCGGGACACGGATATTAATGTCGGTAACAATTCAATACTAAACTTTTACTGCAATAACACCGATATCAAAACAAATACTTCGTACCCTAAAGGAGTTCAGTGTTGCTTGGCCGAATACAAATCAAAGACCTTAACACTACATTTTGGTTCCATCTAAAGTCATGAAGTTTTTTCCATTCGATATATAGAATCTCTTATCACTAATCGATTCAGTTGTTTCCAATATCTTCTCTTCCTTCCATTTCACATGGGAACAGCAGCTTCGGAATACCTTTCCAACGATCGATCCGGTTCTCCCGCCAATCCAGCAAGCTCCAACAACTAGAATCCAAAGTGAGACACTACCCATAAACTCAATACCCATAATCAAACCGACCATTTGCTGATCTGCACTTTAGTTGACAAAATAATTTCGCCAACGTTACCTGTCCCAGCTAAAATCGCCTGAGGCATTTTACGGTCTCGCCAGTGTTGTCAGCGAAAACAGATAGTTGACTCGTTGATGTAACAATGCATCGATTTCGCTGCCTGCTACGTACGAAAACGACGTAAGATATTTTTCTAAAAAAAGCTGTTCTGCCTACGCGTCTCTTCTTAACCAATGCAAAGGAACAGTTGCATATTTTGGGATTTATTAAATTTTTCCTGCAAACCGGTTCGCGCACTGCAATAAAAAGCTTTGTGAATTCAGAACTTATTTATGCAAATTTCCTTAAAATCTAACAACGAGTAACCAAGTTGCATACAACAGTATCATGATAACGATCTACATGACATTTACATGATTTATATGATACTGGCCTATATGGTCTATAATTCGAAACAAAATTTACAAAAAAATAGCTCTTGGACTGTCAGAATCCTACGTTTCAGACAATGTAAACAGTTCTTTAAATAAGATATCAAGTCGATTGTCGAAACTGAACAAAACAGCACGCTACCATTTTTGGATGCTTTAATGACGCGAAAAGAGATTTGCCTTAAAACAAAGGTCCACCACAAATCGACAAAGACCAACAGCTTCCTACAATTTACTTCAAATAATCGGTATGGATTAACGAAAGGCATCGCTAAAATCCTCGACAGCAGATGTCAAAGACTGAGTTCTGATAAAAAAATGGCAATCGAAAATAACTACGTTAAATAAGGAGAGCATATCCCAAACACATCCTAAAATGAGCCATTAATCAACACTGAACCAGGGTGACACACGGAAGAAAGTTGAAAACGTCAAATTTAGAGGTAAGGAAATATGTCGATCTTAAGTACCTGTGAAAAACCATGAAGAATCGCTTACCTCCGCTATGTTCAAGTTTGAACTCATCCACTGAACTAAGGCATGTCAAAACAAAGAAGACATAGGATGAGTCTGCTGTGTTGCCAGAAGAAATGAACGAATGTGCAGCCACACGATCGAACAACGTTGCCTTCGAAGAGAAAACGGCACAGCGCAACAACGATAAGGTAAGAGACAGACGAAGGATAAATGAATTATCAAAAGAGAACACGAAAACAACCCTGTGGCTGTGCAACGCTGTGTTGTCAAAGAGCAGAAATTTTACTGACTGCACACCAGCGCATCTGTGCTAAAAAGAACTTGAAATTTAGAAACATAAAAGAAGCTCTGTTCATCCATGGCAACGAATGTATGAGCAGAAACATTGGCACTGAGCTGAAAAACGTCTAGACATCAGCTATTAATAAAACCCTGTCTAAATGAATCCATGATCTGCTCCACAAAGACTAAAATCTAACCTAAACGATTTGACTTTTATCAGATCTGTTTGTACTGTTTTTACCTTAGCAATGAGCCGAGTATGACTCGAAAACTTCTGCAATAGAATCTATACGCGGAATGAAACCTAAGAAACGTATAAACCGCAGAATTAATCTAACGCATGAAACAACAATGTTCAATTGTGAAATCCAAAACAATATGTTCGTAAAATTATGCATCTCTTCTGTCTCTCTTCCATCTCTTAATCTACATAAGGCAAAATATCATTAGTGTACTTAAACTTTGCCACAAAATATTATAACAGACGTTGTTATAGGCTTAGGCTGTACTATGAATTGAATACATTAACGATTCTGCTGCGGACCACAGAACCAACTGCAGAAATCAACTCAGTCAACCTGAACCACCCTTAAGAAGCCTTTTGTGACACGAGCCGAAATGCCGATACTGGTCAGTTACCCGAATGACCAACTTATTTATTTATTTTGTGTATAAATATACTCTTTTATGCATTTTTCAGTTTTCAGCACGATTACCAACACATGAACAAATTGCTCTATTTTCTGCTAAATTTATTGTAAATATCGCATCTGATAAAATAACTTTTGATTTTATTAAAAATCTGGGCTAAGATAACTATCGAAATTAAAACAGGGAAAACTTTTTTGCCTACTTTAAATTAGTTATTTTTGATTGACATTTCATGAGTTTGTTATTTATAATATAAATCACTGGTTGAGTATTCCTAATCCGAAATGCTTAGGTTGTTTCAAGATTGTTTCAGATTTTGGACCAAGATCGGATTCAAGACAAAGAATGTTTCAGATTTTGGATTTTGCCAGATTTTGAAATGCATGATATGGTGAAGTTCAAAAGAACTGGGAACAAATTCCGGAAGCTGATTAAGAAATTCATGATGGGTCACAAAATTTCAAAATATAAATTATTAAAACCACTTTTCACGTTTTCTCTGCCTAAACGCAAAATAACGGAACTGCTTCCTTTGAATAAAGATATTTATGGCCCAAAAGAGTGAGTTCATATTCTAAAGGGTGCCTGCTGTGAGAGTTAAGCTAGAAATGCTATAAAAAGCGGCGTAGCAGGTCCTTATATCAGTCATTCCACAAACTGAAACGATCCGGATTTCGTTGCAACACAACCTAGAGAAAGACACTTTTATATAGCTTGAAATGGAGTGGAGTTGAAGAAGGGGAAAGAAGTCGAGGTGAAGTTAGAAGTTAATGGGTTGTTTTTATGATAAAATACTAGCTAAAAATAGGATGTGTTTGATGCGTTCTCCATTTTAACCCTGCAGACAAAATCAGTAAGTAGTGACAAAGTGTGTTCACGAACGGGACATGGAATAACGTTATAATAACGTTTGACCCTCCGGCCATCGTTAGGGACAGCGAAAGGCTCTATTCCGATTTATCAGCTAATAAAAGACACGACTACCGATGAAAGGTTGAGGGGAAAAGGGATGGGAAGGAGGCTACGGCGACTGTTCATATTTGATATTTCAAAAAATTTAGGATTGAGAAACGAGTTAATACAATGTTCAGAATTTAGGAATATTTCGGATTTCGGATTGGGGATACTGAACCTGTAAAAGAACGAGAAGGAAACAATATTTCGTGTTTAAGTTTCAAACACTGAATAACAATCGGCCAATTAGTCTTCATTAACGGGGATCACACTGCATTTGTTCATCTATATCATGCAGTTCGTCGACAGAAGGTTCCATATCTTTCACAACATATCATCCCATCTGAGTTGAGGATATCAAAGAGACTGGACACTAATCCGTCACTGCCGAATTCCATCGGTGATCCGTCAATTCATTCGAGGAAGTTAATCGTAGATCGATTCGAACTGCATACATGTGACCAGGGACCATTTTTGTTCGTGCTTACCATAACATTCGGTTTTACAAATGACTTTGGCTACTGTCCACGCTCGCCAAACGTTTTGGACAGCACGTCTTTTAGCGCTATATCGCGGGCCGAACGGGGCTCGAAGTGACGGCTGTACAAGGCTTGGCCCGCATGGAATGTTTCTCCATGAACTGAGGCACAGTCACCTCTTTTCCAGCGGCTCTCAAACCATCAGAGAACGTTGAAAATCAAACCACTGGAATTGGATCATAACCACGTTATAAATTAATGCGTGTATATTCTTCAACTGCACATTTGAATTTTTATTTCGCAGCCAGTTCAATGACATTTTTTGCAAATTTCGAATTAGAGAGGTTAAATGGATTAACTGCCGTGTGCATTTATGTTTAATCTTCAAAGAATACATCAACGAACACTGATGATTCACATAAATTATCTTAGTCACAGCGACAGGCGTACACAATAGTGCATAAATTTTGTCTGCCTAAAGCGTTTGTAACCTTAATTTTAAATCTTAGGTAAGTTTCATCCCGCTTCGCCAGATAATCGAATCTTTGCTGTATATAAAGTAGTTGAAAATTTGCAAACCTTGGTCACTTCCTGAATTTGGTCTTCCATTCCCACGCTCTTCAGACATGACGTTTCGGAAGACAAAAGATCGTGCAAGCGGCTGACGTCACATTGCATGTAACCCTTTGTGGTCGGTAACGTACATGCAGCGATGAGCTAAACATACACGAAATCGGTCGTGTCAAACCTCAATCGCTAAAACCTCAACTAACGAACCTGAGACAGCTTTGTTCCGTTGAAATATTTTAGGCTGACCGGCGAGAAAGTGGACTCCGCAATGACCGAGGGGTCGAGGAAAGCAAGAAGTCGTGGTTCAGTGTGATATTCTGATAAAAACTGTCAGTACAATAAAGCAATTTAAATCAAACTTTTTACCGTAGTTATCGTCGGCAAGTGCCAAAGAACCTGCTTCTTCTGGCTGCGCTCCCGTATATGGCAGAATGTCTATAAATATACATCAATCGTATGCAAGAATTCTTCATTCTGTACATAGCGGCAGCCACCTGCATATTTGTAAAATGAAGGGGTATCGAAGAAACAGATATACTCCTAACACCATAGTATGCCGCTTTGTTTCGATGATCTTCAAAGAGAACTAGAATAATGCACTTACCATTCTTAAAGCTTTAATCTTCGTTGTCCCCCAGAATCTTTCCATTCTAAACACTTATGACAGATTTGGCTGATCAATGCAAACTAGCCACAGGATCCTCTTCATTGCTCAACTGTCTGATAAACAGAGGTGAACCACTCAGTATAAGGTAAATCATCGACTGAAGCCAACATCTAGATATGACTGACGGTATGTTAAGACCGAAAGATAGGCTCTGCGAAGGATACACTGCAAACCAGATGCTAGGAAACGCACTTAACTACTAAACACTATTTTTTTATTGAGAGACATACCAGTTCTTTTGTTATCACTACTACGAGTACTAAGCTTTCCGATTTTTATGCTGACCTTCAATGAGAAATCATTTGATTCTGCAGCGCGAATTTCTAAACTACACAATATGACTATCGATAAATCTAATTCCCACAAAATAATACCCGTTTATCTGCCTAAGAAAAATGAACGCCAAATGACCCCAACAGGAGTTTGACCTCACGAACGTTTTAAAATCAGTTCGGTGATCCATTGATTTACAAGCCTTCTTCTGAACTTCTAACATTTACTAATAAATCTATTCTTCCGACCAGAACTTTAGATTCCTCTACTTATTTTTGAACCTAAGTGAGCATCTGTAATCAGGTATTACTTTATAAGACAAATAAAGCTAACGCATGAAAAATTTAAGCAAATATTATCATCTGAATTGAGGCGTAAAGACTAATAAACGGATTTCGTTCAAGGTACCGAGAAGTTATCTTCAAGAAAAATAGAATAATGACAGCATTTTCGTTGCTGAAACTTTTGCTTACCAGGTGAAAATTGACACAAACTTCTCTAACTCAAGCTGGCAAAACGTGCATATTAAATACTTTAGCTTGATGACTGTATGAGGCCCATTTGGTTAATGATAGGCAGTTGCACCGAGTACGCGGTTGACATCGTGTTGTTAAGGGACTTTGATTACAAAGATTAAGACGATATCCGCCATGAATGTCAGCCCTAAAAATATTATGAATAGTATCGTGACGAAACACTCTTGTCTGGTGATGGTGACGCTGATGTGAACTGACGCACTCAATGGGCATCAGCAAATTTTGGGAAGGATCTAACGATAAGAACAACGACGAAGACAACCAGTGTTATATATGTCGATGGTGTTCGCGGACCCCGCGTACGGTCTGGAAATGTCATTAAACTCGTGTCGATAGCTTCCAACCATCGTCAAACTACGATAGCACCTTTGCGTCATGGACGAACAAATGTAGAACACCAGTGCTCTGAGAAAACTTAAGAGAAGCCCCATGCTTGGATTGGTAAAACCACCCAAAACGCAAATGTAAATGTACCCAGAATCCAGAACTTTTCGAGCATGAGAACTACTCCGTGGCCGTAAACGTTTTGGAAGAAAATTAAAAATATGAAACATCTGAATGCGGCGAGGAATACGACTTTAGAGGTGAGTGTTGGCAAATATTTTTGTGACACGCCATTTTTAACGAAAGCTTTGCCAAACTAAATGTTCAAGCTCCATTAGCTTTTTAGAAGAAAAAAGGAAGCGGTGGCATGCAAGTGGTTCAATGGGATCAAAACAAAACAGTGAAAAGAAACGGAATACAGCTAATCAATTTCAAATGACTGAATATGTAAATCAACAAGCACCTCCTCCCTCGCATTCAAGTTCCGTCAGTAACGGGAAAAAACGGTCGCTCTGCGACTTTTGGCCACCGTCGAGCAAACATTTCAGTTCAACAGCGCACAGTTTCATGATCCATCCCAAGCAGTCGTGCATGACGAGTGTCGAAAAGTCTAATTCTAGAAAACGAAAGCTGATCACAAGACAGAACAGGATAATGACAGCAAAACCCGATGCAATGCTTACCGCCCTTCTTCCGGAAGATTTCAATGGGAAACTGTGACGTGTGTCTGAAAATGAAGTCGTCCACCGTACGAAGGTAGCGCAAAAGCGGATCAGACGTCATCGATCCGCAAGCTAGCCAGTATAGTAGCCGATACGATGGTTCGACCAACATTCCAAAAGACAACGTCCGCAGATCCTCCCCAAGCGCAGAGTTTAGAATATGCAAAACGCAGTGCAGGCACGTCCTCTGATTGTTTCGAACACCTAAAGAATCAAATTTACATTTGCACTAAGAAATGATGTCTGGAAAATCTCTCTTATGATTATACATATTGTCAATTGGAGAAATACATACTTGGCTAATTGCTACCTGACTGCATTCTCCGCAAGAAAAGCCAGAATACCTTCATGCTTCTTAATTTTAATAATAGCGCAATCGTTATTCATTCAGATTAAGATAAAAAATAAAGACACCAAATTCAGATTACTTTCAATGTTGGCGGTCCTTCTGCAGTTAGTACATGGAGATAGTTTACTTTAAACATAGTAGAACTTCTTTCGCTGAAACGGAGTAGAACGAAGGAAAGAGAGTGACAAAAACGACGATGACGTTAGGCGACATTCACTTCGAACATAATATACAAAGAATACATCGACCAAGCTCACTTTCAAGTTTTCTTACGGTTTAAAACAAAACAATCACAGAAAGCGCCACCAATAATACTTCAGAGCAGATTATACACGTTATTAATAAACATGATTAAAATATAGGAGAGCTAACTTCAAAATCGCAACTTGAGGTACAAATGATTTTATGATACAAGCTCCTTACATAAGCTGCTTCTTGAAGTGAAACATTCAATACATAAATAAAAGTGTACGAAAATTTTGAACGCTACTGTTGTTGATCGTGTATAATGTAATTTCAAAGAACAGATAATCAGTCATGGCGAAATAATTATTTATCCACACAGGAAATTTAGAGCAGTCTAGAAATGGCATCTAACCAGGCAGCGAGTTTCGCATGCCGGTTAGTGTTATTCTCAGGTTCTTCATGAAGACAGCTCATTATCGTTCGACATCACGCATCGAATACTTTGAGAGCAAGGTTTAAATAGATATGACCAAATGGAGCTTAATATGGTAGCAGAATTGATTTAGTTTTGCCTATGCTGGAAAGTGATGAACCATCAATGATTCGGCTTCGATAGCCGCTTATCCTCTAGGGTCGCGAAGTCAGCATCAACAGAATTTCTGGCCTTTTCTACAATCTACTAGGGTCCAGACTTCAGTAAAAGAAGGTCTGAATTTGGAGTGAAGTCTGTAGAGGCACTGATCCCAAATACTTCTTGGCCATCAACTGCGTCTTTTAAATCCCGGTCAAAAAAATAGTGTTTCAGTTTCGTTTCTTAAAGCATTCACGAAGCATGTCCCAAAGCATTCTAGGTGGCAATTTTCAATCTAGAGAAGCAACAGTTCTACACCAATATGTTCGGGGAAATCTCCCTACCCTGTCGAAAAAGGTGAGTGGAACTAATTGACTCAGAAAGCCCATTTCAGCCGCTTGTAATGGGGATCGATGTTTTTTAATCAAGGCCCACGACTCATGACTGCAGATGTGCATGGGGATGAAGATCGACTTAAAGTGACAGAAAGCCTAGCTTTCAGATTCAGCTCTACTTTAGTCATAATGGTTATGACTGGTTCAAGCAAAACACTTTTAACGCCATTTACTCCGATGCAGCACCTGCCACCAACAAACAGTGACTGAATGGCTCATAGCAACTGACACTGATCACACACATCTGCAGGTACTCTAACAGCTCTTAGCGTGGGATTCTGGTATACGCTTTCTCCAGCTCAGAAAGGCACGTGTAAACCGGATGAGCAAACACAACGAATTCTCAACAATATAGTGTAGGACGAAGATTTGGTCCGACATGCTTCAGCCTGAACGAAAGCAACACCGCTCTTTCTGGTTCTTGAAGTCAGCTATTCCGCGACACTTCATTTTCACCAGCACTGCGTGGACTTACCGCGGAAGCACAGCAATTTAATCGTCCGACTGTTGCTTGCTGCATTCCCTATCATTTACAGAACAGATATAGTATAAACCCAATTCTTTGGTCTATTGGTGTTTTCCAGAAACATTTTTAGCCACAACATGCCTTATTTGATTCAAGCATCAAGTATTTCAGGGCGGATTTTATCGATTTTAGTAACTTTGACACTTCTCAGGTATTCTACAGCTTCTGCGACTTACTGAAAGACAAATATCTGTTCCTTGATGCTATTCAGGAGAGTCACACTTCTCTTTCTTAGTGTTAAAAAGCATACTAAAATATATAAAGAAAAGAGAATACCTATAATACTCGATGGCTAACTAAAAACCAGCACAAAGAGAAAATGGTAAATAAAATAAGAAAAGTAATTAAATACTTGTCTCTTAGGATAAGCATTTTTAAGTGAGAAGTTTACTATATTCCGACTTGTGTACTGAAATGTACTTGATTTTGGTAGCACGTCGCATCGCATGCAAGCAACAACTTTAAATATCGAGGAAATAATAAGTGAATCGAGATGAAAGAATCCATTTAAATTCTCTTTTATGGGATATATAAAAATTTAAAATCAACGTGTTAGTTTTTACTGCCCACAACAAGTTTCACGCCCTCAGAATATAAAGAAAGTTATAAATTAATACCAGGATTCTGTAGCACAGTTTGTTCAGTCGTTATAAAGTCGAAACCACACAGGAAATGACCCAAGTTGCAGGTATGATCATAGAACGGTCTGAAGCACTCACAGAGCATTTCAATTATTTCCAACGCGAGCAGGCCACGAATTCTGGCAACGGCATGAGAGTCAACTGGAATGTCTAAGATCAAACGTTGTTGACACTTCAACTTGTGCTCAGGTCATAATTTTAATGAACATGAATCAGGGCACTAGAATTGATACCTTCAATATCCTGAGAGATTTCTGAGTCTACAACCGCATCCACTTCGTCCAGTTCTAGGCAGGACGAGAAGCCAAACAAAGTGTTCCGTGAAACTATCTATAAACAAGAACCACGTTTAATTCAAAGACGGAAACCACTATTTCTGATATAAAGCTCAATAAGTCACAACAATAATCGTTTATCCTCACAACAATCGATGGTAGAATAAGCAACTTACAACTCGAAGTAAAACGAAAGAAAAAAGGGAGGTAATAACTACCGAAATGCCAACCTTACTCGCACTTCCAGATTTGGGCCATTTATGACATCGTTCTTACAAAGAGCTTACACGGCCAATAAATATCTTTCTTGATGTTACCGAAAGAGAATGGTTCATTCCTTTCAAAAGATTGTCTACAGCGAAGTGACAACTATACAATGCAAGACTCTGCTTCATTTCCATGCAGCGGCACTTGTTTTAGGCCTTAGAAAATGATAGACAAATTTCTGGTTACGGTTCCAAACCATAACCTCACAACTGCAGGTCAGATTCTCTGTTGACCGGCAACGTGGCGAGCTGACCTAGTTGCCTAAGAGGTCTGTTTCGAATTCTGGAGGTGATGGTTTCGATAACGTTGGAAGGCAACTCTTGTCTTATTCAGGAATTCCCTTGAACAAAGAAATTATCACTCGTTCTTTCAGACCGTGGTCATTCAGAACCGGTAGATTACGAGTTTAGACCCCAGTTGGAGTCAATCGCTTCTCTTCTTTATGAGGCTGATAAATATGTGCCACCCTGTGAGAAAGAAATAAAAGATTACACGCTATGATTGTCACATAGAGAATCGGCATTTAAAATAAAGCAAACGTGGCTGATGGCAGAGAAACGGAGATCAGCAGTGCATCATCAGTCTCATAAAAGGTTGCAATAATGAACCTGAAGGAAGACCGATATTACAAGAGGGACTAACTTTCCTTCTCCTTCCTCTGTTGACTAAGCTGCCTTAGTGTTTGGTAAAAACAAGCTACTGGATCACAAGTTTGGTATTCTGAACCGACGTCTAGGTCTCTAAACGACAGCACTGTAACAAAATATGAACAAATTATATATAAAATATTTATAAATCAATCAATATGTACATGCATAAAATATATACTACAAAATATATACTTGATACAACTATATACAAGACCTTCGTGTCCCCATAACTGTATTAGTAGACAAATGTTAACTGCAATGAAAAAAGAATGTCAGTACTTCAGTCCGCTCCAGAAAGATCCAGAGTACGCTAAGTACAGAATAAACCGGTAGATGAATGTTTATCGTCATACAAAATTACTGCAGTGTACTTAGTACTTAAATAAGCTCACACGGTGCAAATCTTTCTCTTCTCGATGCCTAAGCGACAATATAAGCAACGCTATGAATCCATAGTAAGTGAGGAACTGCAGTGTAAGATATAACTGCCATCATTTTACTGACGAGAATAATACTAATGGTTATCAATTACCAACGGTTTGTCAGGAACCACGTTCGTTGTACACTTTCGGAAAACAAATAACACATGTTCGTACATTAAGTAGCGTAAATAAGCTTGTTACTCCTTCTCAAACACTGAGATTTACGACGTATGGCATCGCCAACTTTACTTTAGATGTCAAACGAGGCTTAAACCTTTGAAGGAGCTATGACGCTGAACAACAAGGTTATTACATGCAAAAATCAAGTTACTCTGTTCAAAATTCTGGACTCGTCTGTACGAAGTGAAACCAGACAAAGCAGAAAAATTTTTAATAATATTTCTGCTTTCCCTGATCTGCTTCCTGAAACCCAGTCGAGTTTTTTTTAAGGATTCTTCTTAACCGAGATTGCTCTAAATTCACTGATCAATTATATCTGCTCTTCAACTCGTTCTACTGTCATAGATTGTCAATAAGAAACGGTCATCACATATTTGCGGTAGTCTATTAGCACAATAAAACATTACAGAAGATTACGTAAATGACAAATATCACATAAGGGAAAACAGAGTTTGAACGAGAGTGCATACAGTATTACCTGTCAGGTGATTTGCGTTTATCTCATCAACAGTCGACTTCATGGCGTACTGTAATGCTCAATAACCCTTAGTCGCCCAGAAAGTCACTATGCAGGATACTGATAATTGAGCATTTTTGGTGCTATATGAATCTTCCATCAATTTACTAGCCAGAACCATACCTCGCTACGCCATTACCACCTGTTTTAGAGGTCGGTACTCGTAGAACCTTCTTCTACGAAACAGTCAAAAAATATGCAGTAGTACGCCAAACTGTATTAAGAACAGCTCGACCCTTCCAATCACTGCTGTCAGTTTAAATGGATCCCAACGAGCCAGAAGCAAGAAAGCACCGCAATAGCGGTGAAATCCAATGAATGGAAAAGTAAAGCGTCTGCAGACACAATATTCGAACATTGCCGTCACTATCCACAGTAGTGGTGTGCATTTCCTGTTTGCTACAGCAGTCTGAAAGGGACACAGAACTGATGAAAAGTAAAAAAAATTAAAGAGCTATCGACGCGGTGCTATCATTCAGATTCGACAAATCAGTAATTAACCACAAACGGAATTCAAAGTAGTTCAAATATACCCGCCAGTAGAAATAACCGTCAAAAATCTGATAGAAATAACAATACCCTCGAAGAAACGAAATAGTTAAGAAGGCGGGCCTTCGGAATGTTCGAAGAAAGGTAGCGAATCAACCTGACGACGTAAAGACAGTGCGAAGGTAACCACCGGTTGAATATGAGGTAGCTGAAATGAAAAAGTAAAACATCTTTATTACACGTAAATTGATAGCACGGAGGCACCTGGAAAGCGTAGTTACATAGTCTGGTTGCAACGTCTTTGGACTACACATCTGCAGAAGCACGTGCAGATTTGTGACAAGAAGTGGTCGGCTGCACTCAGAAACGCAAAACATGAAATCTGCCTCCTTGTCGGCCACCACAGACAAAAGCTTCAGAAACAACAACATCATTTCAGACATGGTGTTCTTCTCTGAAAACAACAGTGTAACAAACAATAAAGGCAAGTGAACAACAGTCGGATCACACCCGGAGCATCCTCGTATTGCATAAGTTCTTGCAGGCCAACGTCAAGCAGATCCATCACCTAAAAGAAGCAAAAATGAAGAGAAACACTATCTGCTAAAAGCGGATCATTGACATATAGTGCAGAGGTAAAAGTGACTGAGCACAGAACTGTAACAAATCTATTTAAGATGTAATTTATGATTAGCACCCAGCCATTCACAGGCGGTCAGCTTCTAAAAATGAACTGTTGTGCAAGGAAGCACGATCGCTGTTTACTGTAATCCAGGGTTCCTTAGTCGGTTTGATAACGAACTTAGAACCTAGAGGTATCATTCAGGTTACTGTCCTTTCATCTTTCTTAGGCTGATAAATGAATAAC